TATTCGATTGCATCCAATATAGTGTATTCATTCTTAGCTGCTTTTACATTGTATTCAATTTACTGTATTTAATTTGTATGTATTCAAGCAACAAAAAAAAGGGATTTGCCACAAAAAATAACCCTTGAATACAAAAATACAGGCAAAAATACGAAAAAAATTAATTGTATTTGAATAGAAAAATACATAATACACACAAATTTGAGTGTATTTGTATAGAACACAATGTATTTGTATCATTGTATGTGACTCAATAGCAAAGAAGAGAAGAAAGTTCGTCGAAGATGACATCTTTCAGCCAAGCAAACACTGTATACATTATATTAAAACTAAAAAATGAAGACGAATAAAAATCCGGCCAGATTTGAGAATACACTATCACATAGTATCTACCAAAATTCGGTTAGACGAACAAAAATCTGGCTATATTGTGTATTTAGTTGTATTTGATTTGGCCACAAAAAATAAAATATACTCAAATCTGAGAAATACACTCAAATCTGAGAAAATACACTCAGATCTGAGAAAATACACCTGGATCAGAGAGAGAGAGAGAGAGAGAGATAGAGAGAGAGAGAGAGAGAGAGAGAGAGAGAGAGAGAGAGGAAAAAGTTACTTTAAGGTTAGAAATCCCTTAGAGAGGGTATTTGCTATAAAACCCAATATGTAGCTATGTATTATAATTAGTTTAAAGTGTATTTATTTATGATAAATATAGTGTATAATTTAGTTATACCATGTAAAATTTCCTTTAATTAATTGAAGACTTACAAAGGGCACATACACCAAATCTTCTAAAAGAAATATATATACACACACACACATTTTTTTATAATAGCCAACAAAAATATTTTTTTTGGGTATATCATATAATATACATACTTTATACATATTCAACATATATTTTTCGTATATTTGACTATCGGATATAATTATTTTCGACCGTCCAAACAAATGTATTAAAAGCCCATACATATTTGCAAACCTAATTGGGCTTTCTAGGCTAATCTTTTGCTGGGAGAAATTCAAAAATAGCCAGATTTACAAGTGGTCGTTCAAAAATAGCCCAGTTTCAAAAGTAATCGAAATTTAGCCACTTTTCATTAAAGATAAATCTGAGCGAAAACACTGTTCAAAATCCGAAAAATACGCTAGTATATTATGCTGGAGTTCCAGCATAAGTATACTTGAACTCCAGCATATTATACTGGAGTTCCAGGATAAGTATGCTGGAACTCCAGCATAATATGATGGAGTTCCAGCATAAGTACACTAGAACTCCAGCATAATATACTGGAGTTCCAACAAAGTATACCGTTCCAGTATAATATGCTGGAAGTTCATACACAGGTGCACCGAACTCCAGTATATTATGCTGGACCGGTCTCTGTTGCAGCAAAATAGTGGTTATTTTTCATTGACTTGGTAAACGCTGGCTATTTTTGAATGACCAGTCCGAAAACTGGCTAAACCGAGCTATTTTTACTCTTTTGCTTGTTAATTTAGCTGAAAATCCTAAACTCTATCCCTATCTCGTGAAAGGAACACTCATTCAATTCACGATCTGTCTCCCTTGCCGCATATCAAAAAGTGTTTATCCCTTTTATCTTATAGGATAAAAGAATTCATGTTTCTAATGTTAGGAGATATTACTCTCGTATCTTATTGCATATGATGCATCTTTGGTGAACGTTGTAAGAGGAATAATGTTAACCTTTAATAATCGAAACATGGAAAAAAATTTACTACTCCTCAGCAGCACTTATTTATAACTAATTGAGACTGAGTTTATTATTTGAATAGCTTGTATATCCTTTCGTTATATCATGATAAAGATCACAACTTTCATTAACAAGATATCAAGAAATAGGTCTGTGAAGTTTTATTTTAACCAAAAAAAAAAAAATAATCTCCAGCTTCTCAATATAACTCAACACAAAATTGAAACCCATACCTAAAATAGTTACTCTACCCTACGTCGAGCAAGAGTTTGCTTCCTTTCCATAGCAGGGTCAGAATTGACTTGCATCCGTTCTCTAACTCGTCTTTCTTTTGCTCCATTCCTGAGCTCCTCGATCAATAGGTCCGGGAGAGGAGCTGAAAGCAACTTGACCGTAAGGAGAGGAGCCGTGATCTTCTTCTCTTTCCTTTAGTAGGAATAGACAAGTCTCACTCTTGCCCTTAATAGGAATCCGAAAGCGGATATCAGCCTATCTATCTAATGATATCGGCCTAACTCACATAGTGGAACTCCCCTTCTTCCTTCTCGCCTTGGTAGCATCCTCCTTCTCATCTAAAGAGGCTTCCTTCCACACCGAGCTCGGGCCCAGCCCACCGGCAGCCTTGAAAAAAGAATTCTTTCTCTCTCCCGGTCCGGTTCGTTGGAACCACTTCGTTCGGCGGAGCACAGAACTATGTAGAATTGGACTATCACGCCCTCTATTCTAGCTTATTTTTTTGAAATACTCTACCTAGTAGAAAACTTCAGAGTCTGGTTATAAACCAACTCCCTTCCCCTGCAAGAAAGGGTAATAAAAATCTTTCTCCACCCGTTCGAGGAACCAAAAACAAAAGCCCACTTTTATGCGAATTCCCCTCTTGAAGTTGTAGCTACTCGGTCAGAGAATTGTAACTGGAGCTCATGGAACTGCTTATTCACAAAGCCTTATTTTAGGCAGGCAGCTTGCTTTTGTGGCTCATGTATGAACAACAAAACTCATGCAGATTGACCTAGATGATCCCTGGGGGGGGGGGGGGGTATAAAACACGTGATAGAAGGATAACTTCCCTTTCGCTGAACGAAATCAATAGAATTTCTTGGTAACCGGACACCACTGCTTAACAGGGATTGCCAATAGAGGTATAAACTCCCAAGGTAAGACTTCTCACTAGGTAAGTTCCCCCTTATCTTTTTCAATGCTTTGGGGATTGGGCACAACAAGAAGGAGCTCCTCTTTTTTTCCTAGCACATACTAAAGCAGAGTAGACTGATCGGACGACATGCGCATCAGAGAAATAGAATGGATTTCACATCGATAGAAAGAAAGTCCTTTGTCTTTCTCTGTATCGGTAGTAGCATCAGCTTCATTGCCCGTTATGGCTTGATAGTGGTATAAGGATTTTCCTGTAGGTGGTCCGCTTACTGTGCTATATCAATACTTCGGGGTAGAAGATGTCGAAGGAACAAAGAGGACGAAGGTTCTTCGGCGCATATTCGTAGGATATGAAACCAAACGAAAAGGATGGAGATGTTTCGACCTACTCGTAAAATACATATTTTGAAAAGATTGGGATTACGGCTATTGATCCGGAAAGACGAGATGAAATTGCTATTGAGTCTTCGAGGCGCTAAAAGCAAAGCCCTAAGATTGATCTGATTCCTCCCATTGAGTCGGTCTTAGAGCTAGTAGATCAGATTGAATGAGGGAAGGAAGGATGTTTCGGTATTCGAATTATCCGCAGGGCTGCACGACGGTGGAAGCAGAGTGGTTGGAGCTCCTCTCCTTACAGTCAAGTGGCTTTCACTCCTTCAAATCAATTATATTCGGAGGCCTAACGAGTGATAATGATTCACAGTCCGACTACTAATTCAAGTTACCTTTCAACAGACGAGATTCTGCATCTACTTATTTTGGGATGAAGACATGTCGGCCTTACGACTGCTAATTGAGGCCTAAGGTATAGCAGTAACTATATTAAACGTACTAGCAATGACTTTTGAGGAATTATTGATTCAAAACTTTCTATCGCTACACCCCTTTTCAACTATCTCAAATAGCGCACTAGCCGTAAGAGAAAGAGGTGTCGAATACGGCCACTCATCCGTTGAGCTGGCCGAAAGGACCAAGCAAAGAGTCTTACTCTAAAGAAAAAGCCTATTCCTATTAATCCTGCAAACTATTAATCGAAGTACTTAGCACTCACGAAATTGGTGGAAATTAATTGGCGCTGCATCTATCCCAATGAATTTTTAGCTTTTCCTTAGCCGTCTTCTTAATTAGCACTGGCTTACTCACAGGAAGCTGGCCTAGCAGATGACTCTTAGTTAGACTGGTACTAGTTAGGATATCACATAAGGGGAATCCCATTCTAGGAGTTCTCCAAAGGCCTATCCCATATAAAAGAGAAAAGTTATATAACGCTCTAGCCCAAGAATAGATCTTATGAAAAGAAAAGAACGATCGTCAGCGGAGATCGCAGTACGAAGTTTTTTAGACATAATCCCCGGCATCAGAGAATTCCAGGGATTTTCTCTATTTAAAGTAGGAGATAGCCGGGTATTCCCACAGAGAAGTCTTGCTCTGGCTTGCCCAAAGCGTTGAACATAGAGAATTAAAGTTGTCTTACATACACACTGGTGGAATTTCATTTTCTTCCGCTTTTTAAAATAGTAAGAGGAGAATTGAGTAAAATATCCTTGTCACTCCACGCCAAAAAAAATCTCATGGTTTAAGTTGCAACAAAATCACTTAAAATATTAGCCATGGAATGAAGAAATAATATTTACACATTTGGACACGGTTCGTCTCCTAAGACTCTTAAAAAGAAAATGCTGAAAAGACTTGGATTTTGCTATGATATTTATTGGAAAAGCTTGTCTTCTTTAGGAAGCGTATAGGTCCTTCCCTCTAAGTATTTATCCCTTTTATGTTATTCAAACAATATATTTTTATATAAAAAAATTACTAATAACATAGAAAGATATCGGCTGAGTTAATACTTCGACTTAAAAATCATGAGTCCGCCGCTAAAGATATATTTTACTATCAATACAGTGGAAGTTACTAAGACGCAAAATTCACATCTAGGAACAACAACAAAAAAGGTACTAATATTTCTCATCTAATTTTTTTTTTGATAAAGTTTAATCTTTATTTACTGGGAAAAAACCAATACATGCACTAATCTTTACAAAAAAATCCTCTCTATATAGTTGGACATGCAGCCCCAACCTATATAAACTGCTTCACTAAACAAATCATTTACACATCAAACTTTGTCTAAGGATAGAAATTCAGTGTTTGTAGCTTCTTCTCCAAGTTTACCCACTTTGAGCCTCTGCAATGTATGTATTGGACTATCATTCTCACCAATTCTTCAGCTTTTCTTTTCTTCTTCCTGAAAATTCTCCAATTCCTCTCCTGCCATAAGTAGTATACAGCTCCAGCTAGAATCATTCTATATATAGCTACATCTGATCTTCTCCCTGTTGCATATGCACTGGCCCAGCTTATTTCTTCCGACCATATCTTGGCTTTCCTTCCTATTCCAGCCCAATACATTACTTTCTCACACACATTGCTTGAGTAGTTGCACGTAAAGAACAGATGATCATGGCTTTCATCAGCTGCTTCACATAACACACATTCTGCACTCGTAATATTACCCCATTTCATCAATCTGTCCTTTGTATATAGCCTGTTTTGGACAACTATGTACATAATGAATAGCCACCTTGGACTATTACAGTTGTTGCATATTAATCTCCTCCATGTGACCTTTGTGAATTCACCCCTCATCTTGTTATATACCTCTCTGATTGAGTATTCCTTCCCAGTCATTACTTCTTCAATATTAATTCTTGCTTCTGTCAGGTATTTCCCAGCTTTTAAAATCTTCTGAGTTGTCTATGCTGCTTGGTTAGCCTTCACATTCCATGTTTTCTCTTTCTTTATATAGTAGGTATGCATCCACTTGATCCATAATCTGTCCTTCTTATTGCATAGGTTCCACATCTGCTTACTGCTGCTTTGTTCCAAGTAACTATATCTGTTATGTTCAAGCCTCCTACAGTTTTTGGCCAACAAAGTTGTGTCCATGCGACCAAAGCTTTCTTGCTCCCCTCTGCCTCCCCTGTCCATAGAAACTTTTTGCAAATGCTTTCAATCTTCAGTAGAATCTTTTTTGGCAAAGGAAACACTTGCGACCAGAATGATTGGATAGATAGTAACACACTTTTAATCATTTGTAGTCTCCCTGCATAAGATAAAAATCTTGCAGTCCAGCTTTGCACTTTTGCTAAAAAAATTTCCAGCAAGGGTTGACATTGGTTAACTGACAATCTTTTAGCGCTAAGTGGTACTCCGAGGTATCTGAAGGGTAAAGTGCCCAAAGAGAATCCCAAATTAGTCAATATTTGCTGTTGCACATGTCCTGGTACACCTCCAAAGTATATACAACTCTTTCCTTGGTTTGCAACTAATCCTGATGAGGAGGAGAACTGTTGAAAGCAGTCATTTAACATCTGTGCTGATTTGAGATCACCCCTACAGAAGAGTAGAAGATCATCTGCAAAACTGAGTTGCAGAATATTGAGTTTCTCACATTTCGGATGAAAATTAAAGTCTGGCTTGTGCTGCAAATTCTTCAACAACCTTGTAAGGTATTCCATAGCTAAAACAAATAGGTAAAGGGACATAGGGTCCCCTTGTCTCACCCCACGCTTGGCATCAAAAGGAGTAGTTGGTTTACCATTTATCACTATTGAATAAGTGACTGTAGAAACACAAGCCATTATCCATTTTATAAATTGGTTTGGTATGTTCATTGCTGCCAGTACTTGCTCTAAGAAGACCCACTCCAATGAATCATATGCCTTCGGAATATCTATCTTGATCATACACCTTGGGGATATACCTTTCCTACCATAACCTTTCACCAATTCATGTCCTAGTAAGATGTTGTCATTTAGGATTCTCCCTGGTACAACGGCTGCTTGGCTTCCATCCACCAGATAATCCATTACCTTCTGCAATCGACTAGTAATCATCTTAGAAATAATCTTATACAGGACATTACAACATGATATGGGTTTATACTGTTTGATGGACTTTAGGTTTTTGACTTTTGGGATAAGAGTGACAAGGGTGTTGTTGAGTAGTTTATGCATTTTACTGTTTTTGAAGAATTCCAGAACAGCTTCTGTGATCTCATGTCCAATTATTTTCCAAGCCTTCTTGAAGAAATAAGCATTCAATCCATCATCCCTTGGTGCTTTTGAATCATCAATCCCCTTCAAAGCTTCATAAACTTCCTCCCTTGTAAATTGCTTTATTAGTTCCAGCTGGTGCTTCCTTGTAAGTACAAGTCCTCCCTTCATAATAGTGATGTTAATGGCAGGTAGTCTTCTAGTTGATTCCCCCAAAAGCCTCTTATAAAAACCAATAACTTCCTGCTCCACTCCATCTTCATTAGTTATCCAGTTTCCTCCCTCATCTTTTATCATTTTGATTTGATTTGGAGCTGCTCTCCCTTTCATATTTGCAAAGAAGAATGTTGTATTTGAATCACCTAATTTGAGCCATTGTACCCTTGACTTTTGCTTATATATTCCTTCCTCAATCATACTCCATTTTTCAGTTCTTTTCTAGCTTTCTTCTCTGCTTCAAACATATCCCTGCTCTGATTATTCTGCCTCATTTGAGCTTGCACATTTGCCAGTTCTTCTCTCTTCTGTTGTACCTTCTTTGTTATCCCTGTATATTCCTGCCTGTTTAAATTCTTCAGGCCATATTTTACCTTCTTTAGATTCTGCATTATACCTTCCATGTTACTGCCTTTATATTTCCAACCATTCTGCACTACTTTTTCAAACTCTTCATGTTCAGCTAGGCAATTGTAGAATTTGAATGGTCTCCTTCTGCTATCATTTTCCTGCCCCAATTCAATACTCAAAGGTGAGTGATCTGAGAACTAAGGATCTAGAACTTGCACTTGTATTGGTGCCATTTCTAGCATCCATTTGGCATTCACTATCCCTCTATCTATTCTACTATATACATAGTTATTTGTCCATGTAAACCCCCTTCCCACTGTAACTAGTTCTGTCATTTGGCATTCCATCATAAATTCTCTGAAGTCCTTTATTTCATTCATCTGTACTTTAGTACCATTCATTCTATCCTCCATATCCTTAATTGCATTGAAATCACCCATGAGAAGCCAAGGTATTGTCATTTGTTCTTCCAGCTCTCTCAAGTTGTTCCACAAATCACTTCTATTAGCTATTGGGTGTAGCCCATATACAGCTGTAAATGCAAACTGGACAGTGTCACTCCCACTCTTCACTATTCCATGTATGAATTGTTGGTGAACCTTCAGTTGTGAAAACATTATCTTGTTAGGATCCCACATCAACCACTTGTATTTTCTGTTAGAATCTTTTATGGGAGCTTTAAGCTAAGCGCACTTCATTCACCAAAAAATTTGATACAATAGCATTTTAATTTTCAGTTTTTTCTGTTTTCCCAATAGGAGATTTGCTTAATTATAGATTAGCGTTTTCTAATTTTTGGTGAGTGAAGTGCGCTTAGCTTAAAGCTCCCATAAAAGATTCAGTGTTACTATTTTATGCTGTGATCACATAAAAGCATAATTTTTGAGGCTCAATGTTAAATTCATGGCAATTAAATCATAAGCCGAGATAGTTGCTCAGGATGAAGAAATTTACAACCTTCCCTGAGTGTATCTACTTTAGGCATTCCAACAATTTGTTTAACAGTTACAAAATTGTGACCCCAATATGGAAGATATTTCAATTCCAGCAAATGACAAAAGAATATGGCGTCATCATTCGCTAGAATTGAATGGTTTAGCCATTCCATATGTATTATGGATAAATTTGGTTTAGCCAACTTTATAATCAGATCACACAAGAAGGGTATAGGTTAAGGTTATTGAACACATGAAAAATCCTTATATGATCGTTATACCTTTTTTGTTAACTTAATTGTACAATAGTGCTCCTCTTTATTCCCTTTCTTGTATTTTCTTGTATCTATTCCGGAGGTAAGGTTTATGTCCCCCTTTGTACTCTTTTGCTTAATAATATACACGCTAGGGATTCAAACCATCCCCATCCCTCAACACACATACCATCACAGGAGGTGAAAGCCTGGATTGATGGCTTAATTTTAAAATAAGAAAAGATGAATATCGTCAATCCAATTAATCTTTAACAAATTAGTATTAAGCTTGGTAATAAATCTCAAACTAAATTCATTCTAATATTGTGACATCCTTTGATGATATTGCAGCCTAACAAGAAGAGGGGCTTTAGCTTTAAAATAAGGCAGAATAGCTTGACGGACACCTCTACTTGTTTGTTCTGACATTCCGACTAACTGAAGGGGAAAAATACAAGAATCAATGACAATAAGATGAGACAGAAATCATATTGACAAGTCAAAAAAAAGCCAAACTGTGATCCATATGTATGAAATGAATCTTTTGCACTTTTAAGTTTTTCCTTCTCCTTTCTTGACATTTTGTAGGACCGTTAATCTTCATCATTGTTAATACAAGTCACCCCTTCCCGTAGTGGTAGTTTTAATTTTAGTATAGTATCTTTCTATTCTTAGGTTGATATCACTCTTTCGCTTCAGTTTTCTTAATATCTTGCTTTTGTTATAACTTGTTGCTACTGCTTCTGTTCATCTTCTCTTTAGCCGAGGGTTTAATGAAAACAGTCTCTCTGCCCTCCCAGGGTAGGGGTAAGATTTGTGACTGTGTATACCCTACCCTCCCCATACCCCGTCTGTGGGAATCAACAATAGCATTTATCAGGAATAATCATGTAAAGTTAACAAGCGGCACGAGATATGAACTAACAAAGCTATTATACAAGCAAATAAAAGACCTGATAAGTACAGCTAGTATATGCCTTGTATTTTTGATTAATTAAGAATCATTCCTGCTTGGTGACTACCTGTCATATCCATGAGATCGTGCATTACGTGCTCGACGACGTTCTTCTCTGTACGTTGAAGTTCCATGAGATGAATGATCAAGACTGGGGGATCTCATGTCATGCCTGTCTCTGCTACTCTTTTGGCGCTTGCGAGAATGTCTGCTTCTGTCCATTGAACACCTATCGGATGAATGATCATGACTGGGAGACCTTAAATCATGTCGTTTCCTTCCACGTGTTATCTGCCTATGAGATAAATCTTCATTGTCCACAGACCTCTCACGTCTTCCAGATGGGTGCTCTCGACTTGGAGATCTCTCCAATCGATTAGAATGCTTGCTTCCCTTATCGTGCTTGTGATTCTAGCGTCCTCCATGCTCCTTTCTTGTCTAGGTGGCGATGGAACCTACACGGTTTAGTTCAAGTCATCAGCATCACTAAAAGAAGGATAATTTTCATTTTACAAGCTGTATCCCAGCATTATCCAGACTCCACTTCTCATTTTGACTTAAAGCAGTATTTCTCCGGAGGGTTAAAAATCACTTATATGTATCAAACTATTTTAGTCAGTGAACTTGACAGCCATGGCAACAATAGGAGAGGAAACTGTAATAAGCCCTTAATGCAATATTATTAGCGACAGAACTTAGCTAACTGATACATTGACCAAAAACTAATGTTTCAGTTACTTTAAAGTGAACACGAACGATACAGATCTCAAAAGGTCACCTGTGTTCTTCACAAAATAATATGTGCAATAAATGGGTTACCTGAAACCGTGACATGTATCTTCCTTCTGAAGGAGGTGGTATACCAAGCCTCTTTAGATCATCCAACGGAATTTGTCGGCTGTTCCCGTGAGCATTCGAAAGTTAGTGTAAAATACATATAAAGAATGTAGCATGGAAGAGAGTGATCGGAGAATGTTTTCAACACAATACCCTACAGAAAGCTAAGTCTTAAGTCTCTGTTCAGATATATACAACGTTTACATATTTATTGTTTATCTCAAAAAAATGTGTTTCCTTCGGTTAAAGCACACTACATTCTTCACACCCTAGAATACCAGTATTCAACCACAGATAAAAGAGAAGATTGACAGAAAACAAACTGAGAGAGACATTGGGATTAATAGCTAAGTTTGGTTACCTCAGATCTGGTGAACACACCACCAAATTAAAGGGACAAGCGAATAAGTATTAAAGGAGATAGGTTAATCTGAGGCCGGGATCTCTCACTCTCACTACAGCGGCCAAAGAGCACAATCACGCAGGACTTCTATTGCAGGAGATGATCTTGATGATGGAGAGCAGATGGATGGAGATATCGGGGCTTTTAGGTAGAGCAGAATATTAGCGAGGATGATTTGCAGATAACTCTAAAACAGATTTGGTCTCTGAATCAGCATTATTTGATATGCTGTGTCTTCAGAAACTTCTGGAAAACTTTTCTTTTGTGGCATGAGTTTAAACATTTCCAAGCAAAAACTGGAAAATGGAGCATTCCTAGCAACTAAACTATCAGAGAAGCTTATTTTCTCCCCCACAACGATAAGCAAATCACAGTAAAGGTGGCGGAAAAGATGTGTAACTCAACGATAATTAAGCAGCTAACATAGCTTGGTTCTAGTTGAAGTTGCTCACGTCTTGAGTACTAGGTGGATGCACAGCAACATGTTTATTCAATTTTCTTAATTATGCCATCAGAACTCCTAGATGCATATTACTTGGAACTAGGGGTGGCAAACGGGCGGGGCGGGTCGGATATGAGCGGGTCAAAACGGGTAATGCAAAAAAAGGGATAAAATATCTGACCCGACCCATATTCAATATTGATAAAATACGGGTTAACCGGCGGATAAAATGGGTAAACTATATTATCCATCCATAGCTTCACATTAGCCTCAAGCTCTAATATGAATTTGATGCCAACAAAAATGAAGCAAAAAGTTGTAAACTTTAAGGGTAGGAAAATGACTCATTGGTTACCCATTTTTATAGTGGAGAATATGGATAATTATCCATATTCAACCCGGTTTTAACAAGTCAGTAATCCAACCCATTTTTAGTGGGTTGGGTTGGGTGGATAACTGTTTTTTTTAAACCATTTTGCCAGCTCTACTTGGAACTAAAGGGGCTTCAACTGGTAGAGAAAGCATCCCCAACAATGTGATACTTTTAGTTGAGCTGAAAACTACATTGAATGGGAAAGAGATTAGTTTGAGGGGGGAAAAAGATAGTGCTATCAGTTCTAGAAATGCAATGACTGGTATGGATTTTTCAGTTGCCACACAAAATGCATTTGGAATTCTAGCAGGAGGACAAGAGGATAAACAACCACCAGATAGAGGTGGTACAAATGAACAATCCAAATGACAATGCTTATGTGGAATGTAAGGGGGGCAAATCAAAGATATAAACAGAAGGAGTTAGCTAAATACATCAAAGACAAGCATATATCTCTAGCTGGATTAGTGGAGACCAGAATTAAGCATCATAAAGCTTCTGTAATTGCCCCTAAGATAGCAGAACATTGGGAATTGGTGCACAATTATGATCAAGCAGCTAATGGTAGAATATGGATCATGTTTGACAAGAACATTTGGCAGGTGGATGTAGTACTAACGGAAGCTCAGTTTATACACTGTAATGCTACTAGCAATAATATCTGTTGTGCTATGACTGTGATATATGGATACAACAGTGCAGACATGAGAAAAGGAATGTGGCAAAAACTTAGGATGTTGGCTCAATCTATAAATCAGCCATGGCTCATATTGGGGGACTTCAATGCAATCATGGCTATTCAAGATAGAGTATCAAGGCATGAAGTAACAATGGCTGATATCCAAGATTTTGCAGATTTCTGTTCAGATACCATGACTACTGAAATTCCTTGGAGGGGAGATTACTTCACATGGACAAATGGTCAAATGGGAGTGGATAGAGTAATTAGTAAAATTGATAGAGCCTTGGGAAATGGTGAATGGATGATGAAGTTTGGGGATCTAACAGTGGAAATTGGAGATCCATTTATTTCAGATCATTCTCCTCTATCTCTGAGATTTGAAAGAAGAAATAGCTGTATTAAAATACCCTTTAGGTTCTTGAATGTTTGGGCTGATCATGAGGCATTCCAAAGTATAGTTACTAAGGGGTGGCAAGGGAAACAGCAGTACTGCAAGTTAGCAACCATCTGGAACAGATTGAAAGCTATGAAAGCAGACTTTAAAAAATTGAATAACAAGAATTTTAGGGATGCAACAGTGAAAATCGAACAAGCAAGAAGGATATAATTGAATGCCAGCAAGAGATGAAGAAAGGATACACGGACCAACTAAGGATGATGGAGAAGGAAGCTAGAGATAAACTAGAAAAATGGTCACTCATTGAAGAGAAGATATTTCAGCAAAAATCAAGAGCCCAATGGATCAAAACAGGTGATGGAAACAACAAGTACTTCTATGCAGTGATGAAGGAAAGAGCATACAGGAAAAATATTACAACCTTAACAGCATTGAATGGTACAATCCTGACAGAGCCTAAGAGTATTAAGAGGGAGATTGTAGAGTTTTACAAATCTCTTATGGGGACTACTGCTAATCAGTTACCTGCTGTCAATATGCAAACAATGAAGAAAGGACCTCAACTGAATCACCAGCAAACTGTGGAATTGATCAAAGATATAACTAGACAGGAAATTGATGACTGTTTACATGCTGTTGAAAATGATAAAGCACCTGGGATTGATGGGTACAATGTAGTGTTTTTTAAAAAAGCATGGGAGATAATAAAGGTGGATGTCTATGATGCTGTAATGGATTTCTTTGAAACTGGTAAAATGCCCAGGGCCATTAACTGTACAACTGTCACTTTATTACCCAAGGTCCCCAACCCTGCTACTATCAAAGACTATAGACCTATATCCTGTTGCTCAGTTTTATATAAGATCATTGCTAAACTCTTAGCATCAAGGCTGTAGAAAGTTATGAGCTCCCTAATTGATGAGGCTCAAGCTGGTTTTATACCTGGAAGGAAAGGAGCAGACAACACTATATTAGCTCATGAACCGATTAGAGCCTATTCAAGGAAACGTATATCTCCTAGATGCATGATTAAAGTAGACCTGCAGAAAGCTTATGATAGTGTTGAATGGAGTTATGTGCTACAAATTATGGAAGGATTAGGATTTCCTCACAGGTTCACACAATGGGAAACAGCTTGTATCCAAAGTGTGAGCTATTCTATTTTGATTAATGGAGAATTGGCTGAGCCCTTTCCTGCTGCAAAAGGACTCAGACAGGGTGACCCAATGTCACCTTTCTTGTTTGCTATAGCTATGGAATATCTAAGTAGACTGCTGGCAGAGTTGAAGGACAAGAAGCAATTCCACTTCCATCCAAAATGCAAGAAGCTAGGCATCACTCATTTGAGCTTTGCAGATGACCTATTATTATTTGCTAGGGGGGATAAACAATCTGTGGCAATAATGAAGCAGTGTTTTGATCAATTTTCTGCAGCCTCTGGTCTTCAAGCTAACCTAAGCAAGAGTTCAGTGTACTTTGGAGGGGTGACTGATACAGAACAGGAAGCCATACTTCAGCAGCTGGGGTTTATAAGAGGTGAATTACCATTCAAATACCTAGGAGTTCCACTAACTACTAGGAAAATGAAGGTGACTCAATGACAACCTTTGATTGACAAAATTGTAGCAAGAATCTCATCTTGGACGGCAAGGAAACTGTCATATGCTGGAAGAATTCAACTTATAAGAGCAGTGCTAATTGGAATTCAGTCTTATTGGTCACAAATGTTTCTGATTCCAGCCAAAGTGATCAAAACTGTTGAAGCTTATTGCCGGAGCTTTATGTGGTCGGGGACTAATGAAATAACCAAACGAGCTTTGATTTCTTGGGAAAAGGTATGCAAACCAAAGAGTGCAGGAGGTTTAAATATCCTAAATCTTAAACAATGGAACAGAGCAGCCATTCTCAAATTGCAATGGGATCTAACATCAAAAACTGACAGACTGTGGATTAAATGGGTGCATATATACCATATAAAGGGGCATCCTATATCGAGCATCAAAGAGGCTAAACAAGCAAGCTGGATGGTACAAAAGATCTTGACTATTAAAGGGCCAAGCCCACAGATACAAAGGACGGGAAGCAAAG